GCTACTAGAAACAAGTGCATCGCTACTAGTAACAAGGGCCTTACTAGTAGTAGCAAGAAGCTATTAGAAAAAAGTCTAATTCTTGTTTCTAATAGCTCCATGATGCGCCATGTACTCCAAAAATCTATCCATGATATGCCATGGGACTGGAATAATATACGCCTACAGGTCAACCACCCCAATGTGTGCAAATGTCCCATATGTGGATGGTCTGGGCATGGTTACAGTTCTAGGAACCTTTTTGGGGATGGTCATGGGAGATTGCCCCCCAAAAGCCCTTGGAAAAACAGACTGAAGGAACCAGGAGGCCCCCGGAGCCCTAATCCTCGCCCCAAACAATCCTCTCTCAAACCCGGGCGGCACCTGGCAGCCTGGCAAGACGTGGCCGCCGAAGACGCAGCCCTCCTGTCATATGCCGCGTAGACGGGGATCCAAGCTGCGATGAGCATGGTTTCAGTGTTTGCAAGAAGTCTGGCGGTCCCCAAATCCGGAAAAAGATCGACAGTGGTGAGGTGTGCAGTCATGGGATGCATTGGGATGAATTTGGGGATGCTATTTTCGGTCTCTTTCGATCGCTATTCTGTGCGAATTTGTTCACCCTGATTTGGACTTGGCCAGCTCTTAGAAACCAGCTTCCGCACATCTTCACAGAAAATGAGCCATGGGGCAATTCCCTTGTCCTTGTTGGCCACAGACATGTGCAAATGGCCACCTTCCAATCCTCGTGTTCGACGGTCCAGACCGCGCGCGTAAGGAGATTTCGGGATTCAAGGGGCCCGAGGTGCATGGGATGATGGAACCAGGTTCATCGCAATTTTGGAGCAGTCATGCATGCAAATCTATCATGTCAAGCTAAACGCCCCACTGCCACTACTGCCTTCCAAAGCGGCAGATAATGGGGGGGCAAGGCCACCATCTCTCCAAAACACAAGAGTGAGCAGAGCTTCTCTATGTGTTCTTGCGCAGCCTCTCTTTCCCCTTGTAAAGCACAACACTGCGCACCGCCAGGACCGATCTGCAGATCTGGCGCCAAGGACTGGACTTTTCTGACAAGAAGCCCAAGGTACCCACTAAAGACGTGATTTCCAGCTTCTCGTCGAAGTGAAGCTCCTAGCAGCTCTGCACCAGTTTTAGAGTGGCTGGCACCAAGCACCACTACTTGGCTGTAAATCAAGCTGTGAGGCCTTGTATTACCCCACACCGCGGATTATGGTGCCAACACTGGTGCCAACATAGTCCAAAACTCCACGAAGAGAAGAGCCCATAAAATACAACACACAAGGGGGATGGTGAAGGGGAGCAACATCTATAGCTTCCATAGTGAAAGAAGCTCTCGGAATCATGAGGCAATGCGCGATCGAAGTGGGATTCACAAGTGAGAGGGATTTGTCAAGCACAGAAACTCAGCTAGTCCCCACTCACCGAAGGACGGTTACCCCTACATTCGCAGCTTGAGGATGCTGAAGAGAGTTTTCCCAAGCGACTGTTTTTCTATTGAATCTGGATGAAGAAAACAATGCCCCTGACTCACCACAATCTAATGAAGTTCAAGGTGTTTTCGGGTTGATCAGAACGATGACGACGACCATGACTGTGTGCGCGTTTTGATACGACCATGGATGGTCGCACCTTTCGTCTTCAGTGAAGGCAGTGCCCCAGTACCCAGTTGTCGCCTTGTCCCGCGCGTCGTGTGTCGCATCCGCCAGCCGCAGGGATGCCTGTGGTGGAGATCAATGGCGCTATCAGCGAATCGCTTGAGTTGGGAGCAACGACCAAACCGAAGTCCAACGACAATCGTTTGCACTAGTGAAACAAAGGAAGTTCTTACTTTGGGTCGCATGAACATGAATTAAAAGCCTTGGACTTCCGGGAGGTCCGTCATAGTCCTCCTTTCAAATGTCCTGATTGGTCATTTCTCTGGTCGACCTTCACTCAATGTCTTTCCAAACAGCGTCTCCCAGACCCTTGGATTAAAATGTGTTTCTTACCAAATCCGAATCGTTTAAGAGAACCTTGTCTTCACCATGAAGTTTGACTTGGACTAGTCGTCCAGCCCTTTACGAATTGGGCTGCCCATTTGCTACCATCGGGCCTTGCGCAAGGAGCCCACACAGCTCACGATTGACGCAGCCTGAAGCTTCTGCTGATGGGCATAGGCCATCAATGTCTCCTGATCAGTGGCATGGGGTTAGACCGAGCTTGGAAGAGTTGGACGTTACCATCAATTCTGAAACAGCGCACCTACAGCCTAAGCACCCTCATGCTGCCAAAGCCGTTCTTCTATGACTGTGAATGCATCGACCTTTTCTTTATCCCACTGCATCTTTGATGGCAAGGAAAGGCCCCTTTTGCTTGAGGGGACCTTTCTCCATCTTACGTGTCCCAGTCTCGTGAAATGGTGGATGGCACAAAGCAAATAGACACTGTTGGTTAGTACTTGGGGACCTGATTCCAAAGCAAAGGTAAGCAAAGTAAAGTACTCATTTTGTGGAAAAGAAAAGCAAAGCTCGGAGGTCTCCAGGTGCCAGTGAAACATCTGCCAATCCCTTCGCTGGCAGTTTGCACATGGCTGTTAAGACCACCCGCTCGGGAACGAGGCTTTGGAAGATGATCTGTTCCTTAGACTTGAGGGCCGAAGGGTAGCAATGGAACCAAATAATGCGAGCGCTATCCTGCGTCCATGCGTAGGAGCTACTTAAGCTACTAGCTACCTTGCTTCTACCAGCGACCGGCTCCCTAGCTGACCTACCTGACCTCTACGGCCTACCCGCCCAGTCTACTAACAAAAGGTGAATCAACTAGCAGTGGGGTGTATTACTGCCAGCAGTTCAGGTGTCTTATGAGGTCGCCAGCGTAAGGCTCTTGAAGAAGCGCTGATTGCTGAGGTGATAAGCCTTTCGAGCCGCCCAAAACATCACAGCACAGCCACCCACGAAGAGCAACGAAGCCCATGTCTCATGACCTGGGGTTTTGGAGGAAGTCTGTCAGGTCTGACAGGTCCCAACCCAAGGTTGACAGGCAAGTGAAACTATGCCCGGCTTGGATTTGCTGCTTTGGAGCTGAAGTTGTTTTCCATTTCGGCATCTGCCGAATCTTCCCCAAAAGGCGCCAGCTGATGGAACATCAAACAAATCGATCCCAACAGATACTCCAGCGTTACTGTGCATGGTCCTGTCGCATGGCTCTGGTTGCAGGGATAGATTGAGGACTCAAGATTGGGGATGCCTCACGGGGTAGGACCTAGTGACCTACAGTAGTATCTCGAACACAGGGTTTTCTCGAAAGAGGCCATCCAAAAGTTTTGGGTCAATCTTCCTTTACGCAAGTTGTGCTGGTTCTAGATTGCGCACGTGGTGGCCGTAGACGTTCTTTAGAAATCCAAGTGACCACTCTGCAGTTCATCGAAAAAGTTCAGCTCAATGTAAATCTGCCAACCGATCACCACAAGTCCGCAGGGCGCAGCGATTATGATCACCAAGAGAGTCTTCAGAAAGTCTCGGAATCTGCTCTGCCCCTTTTCTCGCAAACAGCGTGCAGCGAAAAGCCCAACCGTTGCAGGAAAAGGAATGCCCCAAAGCCAGTAGGCCAGAATCCTAATCGCCCAGCTTGGGGCTAGGTAACGCATCTTTTCTGCTCCTTGGTAGGATGCCACAAAGTCAAATAGAGGCCACAAGAGAGGCGTGGTGGAGCCAAGCATCCAAGTGTATGGAAATGCATCACATCCAAGTTGTTGTTTAAGTGCATGGGCGACAACTGATCGCACCGAATGATCAAATTCTTGCTCCGAGCCAAACCAGCTGGTCACACATTGGCGAACAATCTCCCGATCGCACACTTGAATGGGCTGGCCACTCGCAGGGTTCAGGTGATTCACACTGCAACACCAGCAAAAAGAATGGCCTATAGTTGTGCAAATGGTGGGAATCAAATCGTCAAGGATTCTGCGCTACACCAACCAAATAATCACAAACAATCAACCAAGCAGCAAGAAAAGAACTAGACGACGGTTGGCCCGAGAGCGAGACATGTAATTGTCCAGCACTGTCGAAAAGATGTATAGAAAGAGAGGAAGAGAGGGTGGATGTGAAGGAGTGACAGTGTGGATGTGCAGGTGCGATATAGATCTGTAGATGTATGGAGGTGGAGAGGTAGATCTGTGGATGTGAGCGTGCGAAGATGTAAATGCACAGAGACGAGAGAAAAGATATGTAGAAAGAAAGAAAGAAAGAAAGACAGGACAGATGTGAAGGAGCGACAGTGTGGATGTACAGATGTGATATAGATGTGCAGATGTGTGGGTGTGGTGAGGTGGAGACGTAGATATGCGGATGTGAGCGTGTGAAGATGTAAATGTAGAGAGGTGAGGGGGTGTAGACGTAGATGCGTCGATGCAACGGCAGCGCAAGGTCAACCTTAGTTGCGCAAGTACAACGCTGAAGAGGTTCAAAAAGGACTGAAGAACGTACATTTCACACTGAAGTTTCCACGAACAGGGCGACCTGAGAGTAAACGACGTCACGATCATGACAAGCGACTCGTGTATCCCAAGCGAACATCGTTTGTCATGAAGGTGGTGAAGTACACACATACTAACGCCACGATGACTCTTTTGTGGCAGCCACTTATGAGTAAGCAAAGTGGCTAAAATTTGTCAACCTCTCAAGAGAGCCGGGTGGTCGGGAGACATGACTCAGCTGCAGGGGCGCCAGAGCAGCCGCGAGAGATGACTCATCCGCGTACTAAAGTTGTACTACAAAGTCGCCAGTCCTCAGCTTCCAGCTCCACAGCTTGCTCCGCGTACTAAAGTTGTACTACAAAGTCGCCAGTTCTCATCTTCCAGCTCCCCAGATACTCCGCGTACTCAAGTTGTACTAGAAAGTCGCCAGTTCTCATCTTCCAGCTCCCCAGATACTCCGCGTACTAAAGTTGCACTACAAAGTCGCCAGTTCTCAGCTTCCAGCTCCACAGATTGCTCCACGTACTAAAGTTGTACTACAAAGTCGCCAGTTCTCATCTTCCAGCTCCCCAGATACTCCGCGTACTAAAGTTGTACTACAACTTCGCCAGTTCTCATCTTCCAGCTCCCAGATACTCCGCGTACTAAAGTTGTACTACAAAGTCGCCAGTTCTCAGCTTCAAGCTCCACAGATTGCTCCGCGTACTGAAGAGGTTCTAGAAAGTCGCCAGTTTTCATCTTCCGGCTCCCCAGATACTCCGCGCACTCCAGCTGCACTACAAAGTCGCCAGTTCTCAGCTTCCAGCTCCACAGATTGCTCCGTGCACTAAAGTTGTACTACAAAGTCGCCAGTTCTCATCTTCCAGCTCCCCAGATACTCCGCGTACT